CATGGATGCTTTCTGTGCTCACTGAGCGCCAAATTCAGGCTTGGATCTTATATGTTTATGGGGATGATTTTCTTACAAAGGTATGAGTTTCAGAAGTGAGAATACATGTATATATTTTTGGAAAGTATCCAGAACAAGCAGGTTGGGGCACAGCCTTCGAACAGTGGTCAGGAAGATATCCTGCACCCTGCTCACATATGTCTCTCAGAGCTATTCTTTGATCTGGAATAGACAAGTCATGCTCCAAAGATCATCCAAGGTCATGTCTCAAAGAGCCCAAACCAAAACCACTGATTGAGAGTCATTCTGAACTCACAGCTATCCTGGAGCAAAAAGTAGAACTCCCCTACAAGGTCTTCAAGGCTAAAAGTTTCATGGAAGCACATTATCTCATCTTTGTCCCCAGAGGAGCTCTGACTTCTACTTGTTTACCTTCCAGCTAGCAACTGGGCATTTAACCAATGTGTAACAAGAGCATATTAAAATGCAGGCCTATTGAGAAATAAAAAGAAATAGAGCCAAAAGAAATTAGAAACAAAACCAGGATCATGCTAAGACATTCTCTTTGATATAATCAAAAGTACAAGAAAACAGCTGAAGAGAACTGCTTTTTTACTGTGTGAATCAATTATTTGATGCTATGTCTCAGCTAAAATCATCTAATATAATCACAGTCAGTAAATCAATTCAGAATCACAATGGCTCTATAGGACACAGTAGAACTGTCCCTGTGGGTTTCTGAGATTGTAACTTTCTGTGGCAGTAGAAAGCCTCATCTTTCTGCCACAGAGTGGTTGATGGTTTCAAACTGCTGACCTGTCAATTAGCAGTATATTGCATAAACCACTACACAGGTAGGGCTCCTCATCATATATAACATATTTCCAAAGAACAAGCCATGTTATATGATAAATAACTACATTTCTCACCATGTTGTTGAAAAAAAGTGAATTAGAATAAATACCGAATGCCTTACCATTGGAAGTGAAATGCATTGCTTTAGTATACAGAAATGGACCCAGAATGAATTCAATCTCAGCTCCATCATTGTATTATTTGTGCAACCTTGAACAAGTCATTTATTATATCTGAATTTCCTCATCTGTAAACTGGGACTAATAATGACACCTAGTCATAGTCTTCACGTGAAGACTCAGTGAATGCACATGAAGCACATAAAACGATGTGATGAAGAAACTAGATGGTGCCTGACTATCAGAAACAGTATCTAAGGTCTTAAAACCTTGTCTTGAAACAAGTAGTCATCTAAGTGAGGCTTCCACTAGGTTCTCATGGAAGAAGCAAACCAGCCTGTGTAATCCAAGGACTGAAAATAATAAAATCAAAATCCGAAGGAAACAATGGTATTAGAGCTTCTGGTTTACAGAAGGTTATGGATGACAGTGGAAGCCCAGAACCCATTTTCACTATCCCCACGTGGATTCAGGCTCCAGTGAATTCCCTCTGATCATAATGGAGGGATATGAATAATCATGCTATCAACCAAAGAACATTGCAAAATTGATTATGGCAGATGTAGTTAGGTTAAAATGTAATTTCTAACATGTGATCTCCCTTTTGGCCCATTTGTTAAAAAATCCTTTTATTGGGGGCTCGTACAACTCTTATCACAATCCATGCATCCATCTATTGTGTCAAGCACATTTGTATATTTGTTGCCATCATTTCTCAAAACATTTGTTTTCTACTCGAGCCCTTGATATCAGCTCATTTTTCCCTTCCCTCCCCACTCCATCCTCCCTCATGCACTCTTAATAATTTGTAAATTATTATTATTTTGTCATATCTAACACTGTTTGATGTCTCCCTTCACCCACATTTCTGTTGTCTATCCACCAGGGAGGAGGCTATATGTAGGTCCTTGTAATTGGTTCACCCTTTCTACCCCACCTTCCCTCCAGCCTCCCAGTATTGCCACTCTCACCACTGGTCTTGAATGGATGATCTGTCCTGGATTCCCTGTGTTTCTAGCTCCTATCTGTACCAGTGTATATTCTCTGGTCTAGTCAGATTTGTAAGGTAGAATTGGGATCATGATAGTGGAGGGGAGGAAGCATTTAAGAACTAGAGGAAAGTTGTGTGTTTCATCGTTGCTACACTGCAACCTGATTGGCTCATCTCTGCTACCCCCATCCCGACCCACGACCCTTCTGTGAGGGGGTGTCCAGCTGCCTACAGATGGGCTTTGGATCTCCACTCTTTACTCACCCTCATTTACAATGACCACTGAAGACAAATGGGTACATAAGCAAATGTGGTGAAGAAAGCTGATGGTGCCTGGCTATCAAAAGATATATCATCTGGGGTCTTAAAAGTTTGAAGATAAACAAGCAGCCATCTAGCTCAGAATCAACAAAGCACACATGGAAGAAGCACATCAGCCTGTGTGACTATGAGGTGTCAAAGGGATCAGGTATCAGGAATCAAAGAACAAAATATCATATCATTGTAAATGAGGGTGCGTGCAGAGTGGAGACCCAAAGCCCATCTGTAGGCAACTGGACACCTTGTGGCCCAGTTCAGAGTTGTTTCAGTTTTCAGTATTTTCTGCTTTTTCTTTTATTGAAGTTTTCCTGTTTTGTCTAGTCATTGTTGTCAGTTTTGTTTGTTTGCTTGATTTGTATGATTTTGTATGATTGTGTTTTGGTTTGAATGATTTTCTGTATAAGACATTCAGAATAGGTAGATTGATAGAGACAGTCACTGGATAGGAGCAGGGCAGAAGAAGATGGGGGGAAATGAGAAGCTAGCAATAATGAGTATGAGGAAAATATATTCTGAAATTGATTGTGGTGATGATTGTATAAGTCTTCTTAATATGATTGAATGATTAAATTGAGTGATATGTGAAAAAACTATGAGCCATTATTTCATAACTACTAATAAAAAACAGACAATAACAACTGCTGCCAAAAATGTGGAAACATTAGAACCCTTTTCCAATGATGATGTATATGTAAGTTTATTTTAAATTGTTTCTTGGAAGCAGTTAGCAGCCCCTCAGAAAGTTAGTTAGATACTTTTCAACTGAGGTTTCTGTTTTACTTTGTTATGGTTACTAAGTTTTGTTTTTTGCTATTTGCTGCTGTATGTTTTTATTTATATGAAATCCAGTATTAATACAGTAACTGTATTAATAGGTTCTTGGAGAGGGGGAAATGGGAAACCAGTAACAATGAGTACAAGAAAACCAAAATGTTCTAAAATTGATTGTAGTTATTGAAATAGACAAGCTCATATCACCACATTTAAGCAGAACTGTCCTGAGAACATTTTTCCCTGAGGCGATCCCCCACCCACCCCTGCTAGACTGCCCTTCACCTGACCTGAGGTCATCTGTTTTAACATCACAATGGAGTGCAGGTTTGTATGTGCCCCCTCAGCAATTCTTGTCTAAACTACCCCTCTACCTTTAACAAATCTGTCTCTCTAGGACAGGAGTGTTCATTTTCCTCCCCCACTAGGAGAACAAGCTAGAGACAAAATCCAGGAATGGGATCATAAAACAAGGCACCTGAAACTTTACCTAAACATACTTTTGTCTAACTTCTCTCAATATCACTTAGTGATATATGTATTTTAACTTGCTTTTTCCTTCTGCTTACTGTATTCTGCCCTCCCTGAATAATTTAAAAGAAAATTGGCCAGGGAAGAGGGGGCTGCAGTCTGGAGAGAGGTTCCCGTTTGGATATTCCACTGCAGCACAGGAGACCCTGATATTAAAAATAAGACTTCAATAATTCTAATTGGACATTGTAGTGGTCTTCTTTTATCTGGACCCACAACAGTTATGATTGCCTATTTCTTTTCAATGTGTTTAAACTATTGTGTGATATGTGAATTATATGTCAATATGTCTATAAAACTGTCAATATTTATTTATTTATTTATTTTCAGTATCTACATAGCAAAAAGCTAAACTCACACTGTCAAGTCCATACTAACACATAGAAACCCCATGAAACAAAGTAGAACTGCCCTTTTGAGTTTCAAGGCTTTAAAAAATATAACAGCATCAACTTTCTCCCCCAGTATGACTGGTGGGTTTGAGCCACTGATCTTGTGGTTAGTTGCTCAATGTGGACCAACTTCACTACCCAGTACCATTATAATATTTTTTTAAAATCATTTTATTGGGGACTCGTACAACTCTTATCACAATCCATACATACATCATTGTGTCAAGCACATGTGTACATTTGTTGCCATCATCATTCTCTAAACATTTGCTTTCTACTTGAGCCCTTGGTATCAGCTCCTCATGTTTCCCTTTCCCAGCCCACCCACCCCTCCCTCATGAACCCTTGATAATTTAGAAATTATTATTATTTTGTCATATCTTACACTGTCCGACGTCTCCCTTTACCCACTTTTCTGTTGTCAGTCCCCCAGGGAGGGGCTTATATGTAGATCCTTGTAATGGTTCCCGCTTTCTACACCACCTTTCCTTCACCCTCCCTGTATCACCATTCTCACCACTGATCCTGAAGGGGTCATCTGTCCTGGATTCCCTGTATTATAAAATTACTCATAAAATTTTTAAGTGTAATTATGTTGACTTCGTGGTAAATGTTTCCATTCATTATCTTAAACCACAGACCACATAATTGTCCTAGACAATATTTTAACTGGTACTTAAAGAGAAGGAGCCCTGGTGGTATTGTTGAGTATACATTGTAATGCCAGTTGCAAGGTCAGAGGTTCAAAATCACCAGCTGATCCTCAGGGAAAAGATAATGTTGTGGGCCCCTATAAAGATTTACTGCTTGGGAAACCCTAGATAGCATTGCTTTGACCCAGAATTGACTTGATGGCAGTGGGTTCATTTTCATTTACTCTTAAATAAATTCAGAAATCCAGTGCACCCAGATGAAATTTCCTTAGATGGCATTAAAGAAAAACAAACAAACAATGTATATAGAAATGTGTTGTGTATATATTATTTTATACTCACACATAAAATTCTTTCTATTACTCACATTCTCATAGAGAGCTTGGAGTGTCTCCAGGTCAACCACAGAATTATCCAAGTTCACAACAGCTGTGAAAAAATACAAAAGATAAAAGAATATAACTTTTCATTAGACAACTGTGAAGATATTTAAGCATACTCATAAATAACATTCATGACCCAGAGGTCAGAAAGTGAATTGCTTAAAAGTTAATTCCCCTCTAACAAGTATTGTTAATTTTACATTTCCATTTGGAACCACTTGTCTGCCAGTTTATTGTACTGTGGTGTCTTGTGTGTTGCTGTGATTCTGGAAGCTATGCTACTGGTATTTCAAATTCCAACATGGTCTTCCAAAGTGAACAGGTTTCAGTGTAGCTTCCAGGCTAAGAACAGACAACTAAGAAGGACTCAGGTGTGCCCACTATAGCAGAAGAAGCCCCTGAAAACCTCATGGATAATTTCAAAGCATTTTCACATTCTAAAAGGTTAACCAAAAGAAGCAGAACATTGTCAGAAATACTGCCTGAGGATAGGTCCCTCAGGTCCAATGACACTCAAAATATGACTGAAAAGGAGCTGATTTCTTGGAGGGAAGTCAACTATGGTAACATGAATTGAGTAAAACCCACTATGGGAGTAGAGCCTTCAGGATCTTTATTTGCTGATGGGACATGACTCAAGGAAAAGAGAAACAGCTGCAAAAATCTTCTAATGAGCAGAACTTGGAATGTGCACATTATGAATTTAGGAAAAGTGGACGAGATCAATTTTTCTATATCTAAAAAAAATTAAGTCTCCAGTATAATTCTAAGGCTCTGATTACTATTCTCATGCAGTGAATCTTTTTTACTCCTTATACCAGCAGTTCTCAACCTGTGGGTCATGACCCCTTTGGGGGTTGAATGATCCTTTCACAGGGGTCATGTGATTCATAACAGTAGCAAAATTAAAGCTATGTAGTAGCAATGAGAATAATTTTATGGTTGGGGGGTGGGGGTGGGTCACCATAACATGAGGAACTGTATTGAGGGTCGTGGCATTAGGAAGATTGAGAACCACTGTCTTATACTATGTAAAACAAACTTATTATCAATTGTTCAAAGTTTCAAAGTAGTAAAAGCATAGCCCAATATATTTTTGGCTATACCTCAATAATTATATTAAAGGAAGTTAGTAACACTTCAACTGAAACCAATACAAAACACATAATAACCAAATGAAGATAGCAAAATTCATGTATGGAATTATCCCCTTTAAACCTTTACAGTCAGGTCATTGTTAGTTGTCTTTGACTAGGTTCCAACCTACAGTGTCTTTATTCACCACTGCCCAGTCCTTGGCCATCCACATGCTTGAGTCCATTGTCAATCCAGCCTAAGCGTCCACCCAGCTACTTTTTCACATATGATGTTGGTATCCAGGGACTGGTCTCTCCTGACAGTATGTCCAAAACATGTGAGATGAAGTCTCACCATCCTTGCCTCAAAGGAGCAATCTAGTACTTCTTCCAAGACAGACTTGATTGTCCCATTGTCCAAATGCCAATTGTCCCATTGGCAGTCTATGGCACTTTCAATATTCTTCATGGAAGAAGAACACCAGCCTGTGTGATCATGAGGTGTTGAAGGAATCAGGTAGCAGATACCAAATAACAAAAACCATCATTGTGTGCTCACCTTCCCAATACAAATGCTGAAGACAAATGTGTGCATAGGTAAGTGTGGTGAAGAGGCTGATGGTGCCCGGCTATCGAGAGATAGAGCATCTGGGGTCTTAAAGGCTTGAAGATAAACAAGCGGCCATCTAGTCCAGAAGCAACAAAGTCCACATGGAAGAAGCACACCAGCCTGTGTGATCACGAGGCATTGAATAGATCAGGTATCAGGCATCAAAGAACAAAAAAATCATATTGTAAATGAGGGGGCATGCCGATTGGGGACCCAAAGACCATCTGTAGACAACTGGACATCCTTTTCCAGAGGGGCAGCGGGGAGGAGATGAATCACTCAGGGTGTAGCGTAGCATAGATGAAACACACACCTTTCATCCAGCTTTTAAATTCTTCCTCCCCTCTCACTATCATGATCCCAGTTCTACCTTACAAACCTGGTTAGACCAGAGGATGTACAATTGTGCTGATAGGAACTGGAAACACAGGGAATCCAGGACAGATGAACCCCTCAGGGCCTGTGGTGAGAGTGGCAATACCAGGAGGGTAGAACAAAGGTCAGGCAGCAAGGGGGAATCAATTATAAGGATCTACATATAACCTCCTCCCTGGTGGATGGACAACAGAAAAGTGGGTGAAGGGAGTAAGTGTAAGATATGATAAAATAATAATAATTTATAAATTATCATGGGTTCAGGAGGTAGGGGGAAGCTGAGAGGGAGGGGAAAAATGAGGAGCTGATTCCAAGAGCCCAAGTAGAAAACAAATTTTTGGGAATGATGGGGGCAACAAATGTACAAATGTGCTTGACACAATGGATGGATGTATGGATTGCGATAAGAATCCTATGAGTCTCCAATAAAATGATTTTAAAAAAATAAATAAGATAAAAGTCAGGCAAAGAACATGAATAGACAATTCACAGAAGATGGTATTTCAATGGCTAACAAACACATAAGGAGATATGATCACCAGCCATCCTGGAGATGCAAATCAAAACAATGATGAGATATCACCTTGCATCTATACTAACAGCCCAATTCAAAACAAAACAGAGAACAACAAATAATGGAAAGGAACTTGAGATATAGGAACTTCTGGTGGACTTATAAATACATACAAATACATATAAGAACATTTTGTTTTACTAACATGGCACTCTGTAATGCTTACCTTCCCTGACATGATCATTGAAGACAAAATGGATGCATAAGCAAATGTGGTGAAGAAAGCTGATGGTGCCTGGCTATCAAAAGATATAGTGTCTGGGGTCTTAAAGGCCTGAAGATAAACAAGCGACCATCTAGCTGAGAAGCAACAAAACCCACATGGAATAAGCACACCAGCCTGTGTGATCATGAGGTGTCGATGGGATCAGGTATCAGGCATCAAAGACACATAATAAAACAAAATCATATTGATGTGAATGAGGGGGAGGGCAGAGTGGAGACCCAAAGCTCATCAGTAGTCAATTGGACATCCCCTTTCAGAAGGGCCACAAGGAAGAGACAAGCCAGTCAGGGTGCAGTATAGCACTGATGAAACATACAAATTTCTCTAGTTCTTTAATGCTTACACACACACACACACACACACACACACACACACACACACACACACACACACACACACACATTCATGACCACAATTCTACCTTACAAATCTGGCTGGATGAGAACATGTACACTGGTACAGATAAGAGCTCGAAACACAGGGAATCCAGGACAGATTAACCCCTCAGCACCAATAAGGGAGGTAAAGAAACTGGGAGGGTAAGGGAAGGAGTGTGTGTGCAAGGGAACCAATTACAAGGATCAATGTGTGGTCCCCTTCCCAGAGGGACAGACAACAGAAAAGTGGGTGAAGGGAGACAGTGGATGGTGTAATACATGAAAAAAAAATATTACCAAGGGTTCATGCTGGGAGAGGGTGGGGGAGGGAGGGAGGGAGGGAGGGAGAAAAAAATGAGGTGCTGATACCAATGAGGTGCTGGCGCAAGTAGAATGAAAATGTTTTGAAAAAGATGATGGCAACATATGTAGACATGTGCTTGACACAATGGATATATTGTAAGGCAGCAGAGACTCCATGACAGGCTGAGCCTTTTTAAATAGGCTTACGTTTCATTTTTTTCTCTTTTCCTCCAGCATTGTTTCATTTCTCTAACAGCCTTGAGTTTCACTCTCCTAACAAAGCCACTCTCTCCCCCAAATGACGCTGACCATACCTGCCAAGGCCCAGTGATCACAATGATGCTGACCACACCTGCCAAGGCCCAGTGATCACAATGATGCTGACCACACCTGCCAAGGCCCAGTGATCACAATGGTGCTGGCCGCACCTGGAAAAGTTCTGAGTGAACACAATTGGAATGTTCCGAGAGTGGAGCCAGTCAACCAACAAGACCTGCACAACCGATTGTCTCCAGATAAAGTCATTGAACTATGGGAGGGTGAGGGGGAAATAGTCTCACCCAGGGGGGATAGTTTCACCCAGTTTATGTAACCTGTAAAGAGTATAAAAGCTTGGCTTATGCCCCAGGCTGGGGTCCTTGTCTTTGGTGACCACTGGGTTGGTGCCTTAGCACTTGGGCCCTAGCTCGAGCTAGCAAATAAACTCCTTTGTTGTTTGCAGCCTCGGTGACTCTGCCTCTCTGTTCCTAGGGCCACGGGAAAGTCGGCAGTAACAATATGTATGGATTGTGATAAGAGATGTAAGAGCCCCCAGTAAAAGTATTATAAAAAAATGTAAAAGAAAAGAAAGAAACTAAGACACTCCCTAGGAATGCTCTAGTGCAGTGGTTCTCAACCTTCCTAATGTTGCGACCCTTTAATACAGTTCCTCATTTTGTGGTGACTCCCAAACCATAAAATTATTTTTGCTCCTACTTATAATTGTAATTTTGGTAGTCATGAATTTGGCGACCCCTGTGAAAGGGTCATTAGACCCCCAAAGGTGCCATGAGCCACAGTGTGGGGGTAACCAGCCCCTCACTACTATCATGGGTTCGGTAGGCACAACTGTACAGTTATCATATATGATATATGAAAGGCATAGAGAATAGGAGAGATAGGGAAGAGAATAAAATAAGGAAGTCGGACACATTTCATGGTAGCATGCTTACCTCAGCTTCTCTTGGTGGTATATATGGAGGTGGAGACAAGAGGGCAGGAGAGAGCTATGATTTATTTTTAACCAAAGCTTATATATCTTTGGGGGCATGCAAGCCTCCTGATTACAGATAACGACCTACATCATAGGAAGGGGTTGTAACATAGGCAATATAAGCAATAGGAGGAGGATGACCTAGGGATGTACACACAATAGTAAAAGGAGGAAATAGGGGTACATATGTGGCAAGATGGGCGGACACTAGACTCAATATAGTAGCCTAACCTTAGTAATTTTTGAGTGGTCC